GGGCCGGGGCAGGACTCTGCGCAAGTTCCCTGCCACAAGGGCTGTGCCCACTTGCCACTCTCTCCGGCCTCCTGAGTGCTCCCTCTGGAAGGACAGAGGAGTATTCCCTGTCACCGCAGGCAAAGGCTGGCCTGTGGTCCCAGCAACATTCTGGGCCTTCCCTGGGCTCCATACAGGGTCTTTGGAGCCCTGCCCCACCCAGGGGTGCCGGTGTCACCACTGTAGTGCGGAGGCAGGGACAGGAGGCGGGGGTGGGGTGGGGTGGCCAGGGTTTCCTGGAGCCTGGGTTTGCTGCTCGGCTGAGCCAACCCCGAGAGACAAGAAGCCGCAGCCATGGCCGGGTGCCCGGCGGCGAGAGCGTGCTGCAGGCTCTTCCTGCCACAGCTGGCGCAGGACTGCCAGGGGTCAAGAGGAGAGGACACCACGCTGGTCTTTTTCTAACACGCCAAGGCTTGTTTAGCAGGACAGACGCAGGGTGTGCGGACTCCCTCCTCCTGTGTCTGTCCCAGGGCCCAGCCCTGTGCTGTGGCTGCTCCCAGTATTTCCAGCAAGGAGGTCTCCCCAGGGACCTCACGACCCTGTACTGCGGGAGGTAGGGTACGGCAGCTTTTCCCAGGACAGTGAATTACTTAAGGCATTTGCAGAAGACACAGGCGGAGCACGACTGACTCCACAGACAGGCAGGATGTGCCTGGGCAAGAAAGGGGTGACCCCATTTGAGAAGGGGCAGCTTTGGGGGATGCTGGTGACTTGGTTCAAAATGTACCCATTTTTAGAGGGTAGGGCCATCTCTGGGGACAACAGAACTTTATCCCTGTTTGGGGTGTTGGTGGTCTGGCCACAAAAGATGGCAGAAAACCCTCTGCTAGCCCTGAGCGCATGGGGGAGGAGCCAGGGGCCAGACCACAGTGCAGAAGGAGGCTTAGCATGGCCACTGTGCGCCACGTACCCTGGACCAGCTCCCCACCGCCCCCTCCACAGCCCACAGTGGAGCCAGCATCAGCGCCTCCCTGGGACTGCCAGCAAGTGACCATTGTGGTGAGTGTGAAGTGCTCAGTGCAAAGCTGGCACGAGACGACCTTGATGCTGTCGTCAGGGCTCAGCACCATCCCCAGTGCCTATGTCTAGTTTAAAAGGAGGCTGCACTGTCTGTGGCTTCAGAAACACAGACACTCATGGGGGATAAAACTGGCCACTTCTTAAAACAAAATCCTGGGTCGAAACAGAGGAGGCCTGCCGGCTGCCTTGCCCCTGTGGACTCTGTGGTCCCAGCATGTGCAGGCCTGGCTCGGGCACAGCAGGGACCAGCCTCTGCTTTCCTGACTCAGCTCGAGAGGCCAGACCTGAGGAGAGGGGTCCACGTCTGCTCTTCCTGCACAGCGGCCCCACCTGTTCCCCTCCAGGCACCAGCCCTGGTAGCCAGGGCCTGACTCCCAGCCCAGAGGAAGGACATCAGGGAGGGTGAATTTGGGTGGTGACACTGCTAAACAAGCCCTAAAGACCAGCCTGGGCACAGACAGGGCAGGGGCAGACCCAGAGAGCCGTACCTTAGGGTAAAGTCAAAATGAAAGTGCTTTTTCCTTTTCAGAGAGCCGCCAAAAGAGAGAACACAGATACGTTACCACAGCCGGGCTCCTGAGGTCTCAGTGACTCTCCATCCGCCTGGCTCTGGGGCCAGGCATAGCTCCCTGTGCTGGGGACAGCAGTGCCCCCCTCCTTGGGCTCCATCAGGGAGCCACACAGCCGTCCCTGCTGACCTCACTGTACCTCACAGACCTTCAGACTAGCTCTTTATCTCCTAGTCCAGGCAAGTGCTGAGGGTCACTTAGGAATTAGCAGAGGTGCTTTACCCTGTCCTCCACTGGCCGTGGGGCCTCTGTGTTTCCTGCCCTTCCAAGCTCTCTTGGACGGGAAGCCCTTGGCCCACCCCCAAGACTCCCCAAAGGAGGCTGTGATCTAACTCTGTGCCTTTATTTCCCTTGTCAGCACGAAGGGCAGCTTGCCCAGAGGCCTGGGACAAGAAGGGGGATGCTTAGTGTCCTAAAACTGCAGGATGGTCCCTGCCCGGGGCTCTCCAGGCAGGAAAGACCCAGGCCCAGCTCCACCACACCCTGGTCAGGACAGCTGGACCTCCCCAGCCGTGGCTTTTGCCTGCAGTTCCTCAGCGTCATCCTACTCTGGGCAGGGCAGGACACAAGTGATAATCTATCAACAGGCCCAAGGTTCGGCTGCCCAGAAAACCCAGGCTGTGAAGAGAACATGTGACCAGATGTGGGGGAGCCGTTGTCAACAGCTGTCCTGTAAGCCTATCATAGCACATTTCAACACACACAAAAACAGAGGTTCTGAAAACAGGACTCCCAAGTTCTAACTCTGGTTTGGGGTCAGGGAGGAGCCACCTGGCTCGCTCAGAACTTTCTGCCATGGCCCACTTAGGCCGAGACCAGCAGCAGGATAGCAGCTAGCAGGGCCTGCAGGGTGGGGCCAGTGCCTCCTCCAGGGCCCTAGGCCTGGGACCCCTGCATTACCTCTTCTGTCTGTAGGTCAGCATGGCCTCAGCGATGGGGAGCTGGTGCGCACAGTTGGCCCCCGCGATGTACTGGGTGATGCGCGACACGATGTCTGGCGCGTCCTGCACTGCACGAGGGGGAGGCAGCGGTGGGTTGGGCTGCATTGGCCAGGAGGGGTCCCGGGTGGAGTCCGGGGGGGGACCTGAGTGGCAGTCTGGGGGCACTGTGCTCGGGCCTCCCCTCCACCTCTGCCTCCCCGCAGGCTGCCCAGGCCTGAGTACCCACCCATGGCCTCCCAAACTGGCTATGAACTGGCTGTGCTGAGGGGACAACCCTCCCCACCCCAGCCCACATGGCAGCAGGCCTCACCAGCGCTCTGGGCCTCCAGCTTATTGAACAGATCTCTCCAGGCCAGGTCCTGGAAGAAGTTGTTGTAGCGGTAGTCGACGGAGCCCAGGTACCTAGCCACAGGGTGGGAACCTGCGTGCCAGGGGAGCGCCGTCATGGTGGCGGGACATGGAGCCGCATGTGGCCTCCTCCCGTACCAGTGAAGGAGCTGGGCCGCCTGACCCCACGCCTGCTCTGCTCGCCTCCCAGACAACCTTCCTCCTGGTCCTACCACCTCCACTGCCCCTCTGTAGTGGACTGTCGGGGCCCCGTCGAGGGAGCTTTGTCAAAGTCCCACCTCCCTGGGCTTCAGAGAGGAAGGCCCAGCTGGGATGCCTACTGGGCAAACGTGACCCACGGAGGCATCGGGGACAGACACGGGTGAGGCGTGCCCTCTAGGCCTCACCATTTGTCAATAGACTGAGACTGGACAGGTTTGCTTGGTAATAAAACAAATTGTATAAACCAAAAGAATCAACGAAGTTCAAGCACACAGGCTCCTGATAACTCAAAAGGACTGACAGCCAACCCCTGCTCCACATTTGCAGCAAGGAAAATCGAAAGTGGCACCAAGTTTTCTCAACAACTGGTCAAGGGAACAGCCAGCACGGGGCCACCTCAGAGGGCAAGGGCTTTGTCCTCTCACCCGAAGGGCCGTGTTAGGCAATCATGTTACTTTTCACTTAATCAGAAGTAGGGACCATGAGACAAACATTTAAAAATATCAAAAACCACGCAGCAGCAGAACCCAAACACGCCCTCCCATCATGTGGCTGTGTCCCCTGCCTCTGAAAGCCCTGCATGGCCACACGACACTGGCCCTCGGCCCCTCACCCAGCGGGATGATGAGGAAGCGCATGTATCCCAGCCAGTCGGGGGTCTTGTGGGACAGCTGCTCCACGAAGAGGCGCAGGACAGCGCTGAGGTACTGCTGCGCCCCTGCCACGGCGATCTTCACAGGGGTCGGGGGCTGGGGATTGCAGTTGCAGCTGCGACCAAGAGGCAGGTGGGCAGAGAGGGACAGACGCCTCAGGGAGGCTGTCCTTGGTCCAAGGGCCACCCACGCTGAGCCTGGGGGAACCTGTGCCTCCAGCGGTGCTGCTCAGGCCCTGACGGAACTCCAAAAGCCCAGCCCCCTGACAGCGGGAGCCCCAAGCTCGGGTGGGGTCTACCTGGACCTGCCAGGCTCCACCTCAAGATGGTCCTGGAGACAGGCACAAAGGGCAGGTGGTCGTGGCTGAGGATGGGCCGGGCAGCCAGCAGAGACTGCTGCCCCCACAGGACACCCTGCCAGTGTTTCAGTGCCCCCTCCTGGGTTGCTGCTCCCACCCAGAAATGGAGAGGAGACTGGACTGTGGGGACCTGGGTTGGCAATGCTGGAAACCACCCACAACCCCAGGAAAGAGAGCACTCTGTCAGGGAGCGCCCAGCAGGAGCTGGGTGCGGGCCCCTGACACATACTCAAGCACCAACGCCACAGGGGGGGACCCCAAGGAAGGGGCTGTTGGACTCACTATCTCTGTATCCGTGAGACAATGGTGCTGAAGGCCGCCTGGACATCCGCGGCGGAGCAGGTACACACCACGGGGAGTGTGTGCCTCTGCAGGATGTCCGAGAGGAACTGCCCAGAGGACCAAGTGGCTGGTGACCCTTGGCACAGCCTTCTGGGCCACCCCCCACCCAACTCTTGCCTCAGATCTCACAGAGTCCAGGCCAACCCGACCCCTCCAGCTCGGTGTCCCCTGTGGACGGGGCGCTCTCCAAGGCCTCCCCACTCAGCAACACCACCCAGCAAGTGGTGGGCACTGGCAAAGTCCCCTCCTCTCCGTCCAAACACCCTGACCCTCGACTCCACCTGGGGCCCCTCTTCCCACCTGGCCCTGCCAGTCAGAGGTGTTGATGAGAATGATGTTCTCGGGCAGCTGGTCATCAGAGATGAGGATGTGGTTGAGCTGGTCATACACGGTCTTCCTGGGGATCTGGACAAATGGAGCCCTGTCCATGCCCAGCCCCTCACCTACCCGGCCCTCATGCCAGGAGCACCTCGCTGCCTGCCAGCAGTGTGGAGGCTCAGGAATAGGTAGGAGAGCCACTACCACAGGGGCAGCCCCAGCCACAGGGCTCTTCACCTGCCCTGGACCAGGGAGGGCGGCAGACAGCAGACAAGTGCCCCCAGGTCTGCACAGGCTTCTTGACAAGCAAGCTCTGTTCTGCAGCTGGGCATTTTCCTGAACTCACGGCTCCTCCCTCCCATGCCAAGCCTGGGTGGACAGCCCCCGCACCTGCAGCTGGCTCCTCGTGTCTGGGCAGCGCTCGTTGTCCAGGCTGTTGGCCCGCTCATTCTGTGGCCGTGCCGGCTGCCGCTCCTTCAGGGATGTGCTCCGGCCCCGGCGGCCCGCCTGCTTCCCCTCAGACCTGTTGGGGCCAGGACAGGCTTGGGAGTGGGCAGCAGGGCCAGGGGCAGGCCACATGCTCACTGCGGCCTGACCATTGCGGCTGCCCCAGGGAAGAGAGCTCGGTAGTAGGGGCTGGGAAGGACAACCGCAGTGTCACCTGATGGGCAGTGGGGCCAAGGGCCACAGAGAGGGCCCGCTGACTCTGCAGGGACCACGGCAGCAATGGTGTATGAGTGGGACCCCAGCCCTTTCCTCGTCTGTGAGTCGGTGCAGGGTACCTCAGGGTCACTGAGCTTGCCCTCCCCTCCCAAGACAGAGCCAGGTGCAGGCCAGTGCTGGGCAGCAGGTGATGCTGTCTGGGTCCCAACACAGGCACCTGTGTGCACCCCACCAGGTAATGCCAGCACCCTAATCTGCTCTGCAAACGTCCCAATATCACAGGAACATAAAACCAACAAGCAACCAGGTCATCATGTCTCCCTTACAATCCAGACAGGGCTCTGCAGAGCAGGGGAGTGGGTGCCGCGGTGGGCATCTGCAGGGACAGCGGCAGACGCATCTGACCCCAAGCCTCCAGCAGGGTCAGAGGCCACAACTCCTCTCACGTGGCACCCAGGGCTGCAGGCCCAATAGCCAATGCGGAGAGCGCTGCGCCTGCCTCCTGATTCCTGGACAGGCTCGCACAGGGGCCAATCCATCAGGAAGGGCTGCGCAGAGGCAGTGGTGGGAAAGCAGCCCCCAGCAAAGTCAGAGCGTGAGCCATCACACCCAAGACACCCAACATGTGTGCTCTGACACCAAAGTGGGGGTCTCAACGCAGCACAGAGTGCTGTGGCACTGAAGCCTCGGTCACAGGGCTAGGAGGGGCTCAGGGAAGCAAGAGCCCAGTGGGCTGCAGAGTGGGCTGCAAGGCCCCTAGATAAGGATACAGAGAGAAGGCACTGAGCAGTTAAGAGCCCCCAACCTCCCTGCAGCCCAGGCCCGAGCCATCAGCTCCAGACAGCTCCCGCCCACAGGCAACCAAGGGCAGCAGCATGGCTGAGCATGCAGCTGGCCACAAGGAGGGGCCATTGGGAGCTCCAAGGGTGGCCGAAAGCTCAGGCTGGGCAGGGGCAGGGCCAGTGCCCAAGGAGGGCCCACCAGAGGCAGAGGGTGGCGTGGAGGGCCCTAGGGAGTCACACAGGGTGGGTCAGCCCCTACACTTGGGGATGGCAGGAGGCCAACCTGGCATGTGCCCATGCAGGGGGCTTGGAGACTGTCCTCGATCTAACAAGACAAGCTGTCCTGGGGTCAGGACATGACAGAGAAGCCACCAGGAGGCCATCCCCCACCAGGAAGCCACCTGTGGTCACTTCAATTCAGACCACCCCACTTCTGAGGACTCGGCGCTCACTCACCACCGCCCTGGGGGGTCTCAATCTACACAAGTCACTCCACCCCTTGCTCAGGCTGGCCAGCTGACTTGGGTTTGGACCTGCTTTCCCTGGGGACGTGGTCCACCCTCCCCCAGCCCCAGCAGAGCTCCTGAATTGAGCTCAGTCACTGTGGCTGGCCATCCCCAGCTCTCTCAAAGCCTCAGCTGGGGCTCAGCTGCTTCACCGAGGGCGCTGGACCCTAGGCCCCACACCTGTGCCTGGTGCATGGATAACCTCATGGGCGCACTGGCCACGGGGGTGTGTGCTGACAGAAACTGCCACAGAACTGCTGCAGCTAGTTACCAGTGTGTGTGGGGGTCCAACCTGGAGCAGGCCCCAAGGCTGCGGCTGCACCCGAGTGATTCTCATCGGGCCCGATGGGCTCTGCCCCAATGGGGCACCCCTGACGCTCCTGCGGTGAGGCCCTCCCTCCCACTAGCACAGGGCCCCCATCACCTGGTGGAGGGGATGATGAGTGACTCTGTCTTGGTGACCCTCCCACTGGGCGGCAGCCTCTCAGTGAACACGTCCCGTGGGGAGGTCTCTGCTTCTGGGCTGTCCTCGGGCTGTCCTGGCTGCTCCCGCGGGGCCGGTGCACACTGGTGAACAAAGACAGTAGCCGGGTCACTGCCCATCTTGGACATACCACCCTACATCGGGGCCCCTCTTGAGCCCACATGGCCCCTGGTTTGGGTGAGGAGTTTAGGCTTCTGGGCCTGTAGCTCCCTGTGTGGACAGGGCCACATGCTGCCCCGGAGAGCCCAGCTGACCTTGGCCTTCAACCAGGGCCAAACCTCCTGAATCCCCACCCTGCCCTGGGACACAGCACACCTTCCCGGAGAAGACCCCACACAGTGGCAGCAGGAGCATGCCAGGAGTTGCTGGGCCTATATGCAACAGCAACTCTAGCTGTGACTCTAGTGGCACCAGCAGCCTGGTCATCTCCTGGGCCAACCCCACCTCTGCACACCAGATGCCCTGGTAGCGTGGGTGCGAGGGCCTTCAGGTGGAGCCTGTCCCTGTGGGTCGGTGCTGAGGCCGGGAGCTGTGAGTGGGCTTACGGGGGCCACGGTGTCAGAGACGTTGTCACTTGGCTGCTTGCCTCCCAGGGGCCGAGTCTTCTCAGGCACGTCAGCCTGGAGAGTGAGACAGGAGTCAGGCGTGCTCAGCAGCAGGGGGGCCGAGGCGCCTCACTTCTGGCAGGGGGTGCTGGGGTTTGGAGGGAGCAGGGGCGTCTCCCAGGCTGTGGGCACAGGGTCACCCCAGGAAAGTCCCTGCCATTGGGCAGGGCCCTGAGCCCAGATGGTGCTAGGAGTTCCCAGCCACACAAAACCCAGTCAGAGCACGTTTTCCTCTGTGTCTGTGCAGCCCACCCCACACAACTCGGGAAGATAGGAAGGTTCAGAATTTCGGACCCTTGCCAGGGGCCCACTCACCGGGCTCGGAGGCTCCTTGTGGCTGCGGGCACTGTGGATGCTCCCGATCTCTGTCTGCGAGCTGGAGTGTGACAGGCCTTCGAAGTATGGCCTGCTTGGGGCAGGGGGGAGGTACTATTTTCCAGGGCCCTCACCCTACTGACCATGTGGCTGCCCCACTGTGCCTGGAGGGGCAGATGGCAGTGACCCCATGGCAGAGCAGTGTGGGGTCCAGTGCACACCCACCCTCACGCACACCATAGCTAAGAGAGAACGATCCAGGAGCCTGGCAACACTACGCCAGGGCAGCCCGGCTGCACTCCTTGGCCCCTCTACCTGCTCTGAGATTAGCCACAGAAAACATGTGTCCCTGAAATCCTGGCTGCTCACAGCCTTAATCCCAAGCAGGGCTGCCAGCAACACTAAGGAACTCTGGGGACAGCCCTGCACCAACGGCCCTGCTGGAGGACAGCCAGCCTGTGGGAGATGGAGCGTGCTCAACAGCATGACAAGGGCACCCCCGTAAGGCCCTGCTGACCTGCCCACCCAGGCTAGCCAGGCCAGAGGCTCCCATCACTGACAGACAAAGCACATGTGAATGAAAAAGGAGAGGAGACCTACGGATTCAATAAAGTGGACAGGACTCCTGCACTATGCCTGATGCTCCCACCTGGGTGACAAAGCCATGTGGAAATGTGAACACACCAGGGGGCACCCATGTGGGATCCACTCAGGATCACGCCTGAAAGGCCCATGCCTCACCTGGAACTGTGACTGTCAGCTGGCCAGCAATTCTGCAGATAGCCGCTCCTCCTGGCCAGCCCCTCCTCCCCCAGCCCAGCCACACCACACCTGTCCCTCCCTCCCCACCTGCCTCTACGGCCTCCAAGGACTCCCCCGCACACTGATACTCTCTCCAGTGCCAGAACCAGCCTGGCCAGCACCCTGGGGACCTCTCAGTCCTCCAGCCCAGAGCACACACACCCAAGCCCCTGCACAAATGCATCTTTCCCCATCCCCGGCCTGTGACAGAACAGCTGCCCACTCAGTCCACCCACAACCACCTTGGATTGACCCGTGCTCACAGCAGTCCTCCCAGCTTCCCCCTGCCCACTGTGCCCCCAGGGCCAGGTGTGATCTCCACAGAGCAGGGGTGTGGGGGAAGCCCCTCTGCCAGGCCACCCGCTGGCCCACCTGAGCTTCGGCTTGGGTGTGCTGAGGACACTGTCATCGTCTTCCATGTCAGGGCCACTGTCGCTGGGGTTCTCCATGTCCAGCGTGTCGTACAAGAGGTCCAGGTCCTCCTCCACCTCAGGGACATGTTCTGCAGGGTCCTGCTCTGAGTCAAGGACCTGCCAGGACGCCAGACGTCTGTGAGAGCCAGGCAGGGCGGGAGGCCCCTGCAGACACCGTGCCACCCCCTTGGCAGGCCACCCAAGGGGCATGAGGAGGGGTCTGCAGGAACCAGGTGAGGGGGCACCCAGACCCAACAAAAGCCTCAGCTGCTGGCTAGCATGCTCGGTTTGTCCAGGCATTCTGCTCCAGAAATTGGGGCTCTCTCCTGAGGAGCTCAGGCTACCCAGGCACTGGGCACAGTGTGACCATCTCTGCACCTCGTCGGGCTTGGCTCCTGTGACTCAGGCTGAACAGGTGTACTGGGAGCATGGCGTGCAGGCATGGAAGTTCTGGCACGCGGCTGCACAGCTACTGCCACAACCAGACCACCAAGCACTTCTATTACCCCAGGGGGTGCCCCTGCCCTCCCCCAGGCAGTCCCCATCTTGTCCCCGCATCCACTGACCTGATTCCTGCCCCTGTGATCTTTGCCTTCCCAGAACCCCACAGAACACAGCCTCCTGTGTCTGCTTTCATGCAGCATCGTGTACTTAGGATTCACCCGTGTCGCTGTCTGTCCACAACCGATTCCCTTCCATTGCTCAGCAAGGCTCCACTGAGTGGGTGGCCAGGTGTCTAATGCGTCATTTGCTGGTGGGTATCTGGGATGTTTCCAGTGTTTGCTATTACCAATGAAGCTGCTGTGAACACCTGCATGTAGGTCTTTGTTTGGACATACGTTTTCATGTCCTTTAGGGAAATCCTCCAGACTGCAACTGCTGGGCACCTGGGAACTGTTTTCCATGGCGGTGGCTGCAACTCATGCCCTGCCAGCAGCATGAGGGCTCCCGTTGTTACATGTCATAGCTCATTACTTTCCATTTTTCTATCAGGTGTTTTACTGTGGTTTTGATTTGCACTTCCCTAATGACCAACCAGTGCTGATGATCATGGGCTTACAGGCTGTTTGCATTTTTTCTTTGGGGAAATGTCTATTCAGATCTTTTGCCCATTTTTTTAAATGGACAATATGATCTTTTTAAATGAGTGACAATCAACTTATTAAAATAGGTAAGCGTCTGCACTGGTGACTTCAGCTTTCACACCTGGCTCAACACAGGCAGAAATAATCTGCTCCACAGTCTCTGGAGGTCTGTGCACGTCAGCGAGCTGCTGGTGGATCCTCATCTGGAAATGGCCCCGTGCCTTGGAGCCCCTGCCACGGGGGCTTCCATTGTGGTGATTCTCAGCATGCTGGTGGGCACTCAGTGGTCACTTTGAGGCTCTCTCCCCTTGCGCCTCTGATCAAGTCAGTATATATGTTCTCCAGGGATCTGATGTTGTGGCTAGCTAGGGTGATGATTCTAATTGGGTGAACTGCCACCTCTGGTTCCACAGGTGCCTTTCGAGTATCTTTAAGAGCCATGGCTAGGGGGCCGGCCCGTGGCTCACTCGGGAGAGTGCGGTGCTGATAACACCAAGGCCCCGGGTTCGGATCCCACATAGGGATGGCCGGTTGCTCACTGGCTGAGCGTGGTGCTGACAACACCAAGTCAAGGGTTAAGATCCCCTTACCGGTCATCATTAAAAAAAAAAAGAGCCATGGCTAGGGCCGGCCCGTGGCTCACTTGGGAGAGTGCGGTGCTGGTAACACCAAGGCCATGGGTTCAGATCCCTATACAGGGATGGCCGGTTAGCTCACTTGGGAGAGTGTGGTGCTGACAACACCAAGCCAAGGGTTAAGGTCCCCTTACCAGTCATCTTTAAAAAAAAAAAAAGAAAAGAGCCATGGCCGTGGCGCGGCTTCCTGACCAACTGCTTTTTGGCCAAAGCGAAGAGTGGTGAGGCAGGAGCGGGAGCGGCTGGAGCCCCTCAGCACTGCGACCACAGCTTCCCCAGAGATGGACAATTCGTTTTTTGTAGTGCTTATCTGAGTTATAAGTAACCTTTGTGTATTTTGGATACAAGTCCTTATCAGATCTGTGATTTGCAGAAGTGTTTTCCTGTTCCATGGCTCTTATTTCACTCTCCTGATGGCACTGTTGGGAGCATACAAGTTTTAAATTTTGCTGAAGTCCAGTTTATCTATTTTTCTTTTGTCACTTTCTTTTGATGTCACACCTAAGAAACCACTGCCTAACCCCAGGTCACAGAGATTTACCTGTGTTTTCTTCTAGGAGTTTTATAGCCTTAGCTGACATGCGTAGCTCTCTGATCAGTTCTGAGTTGGTTCTGGACACGGTGTGAGGCGGGGTCTGGTGGCACATTCCTGCACATCCACTTGTCCCTGCTGCATTTGTGGAAAAGACTATTCTTTCCTAGTGGAATGATCTTGATAACATCATGGAAACCAACTGACCATAAATAAATAAAATGAGTCACTGCTCGACTCTGCCGCACTGATCTCCAGGTCTGTTCTTGCGCCAGCACCACGCGGGCTTGATTCCTACTGGAGCTTTGTAGAGAGTTTTGAAATTGGGAAGTGCATCTTCCAACTTCGTTACTCTTTTTCAAGACTTTTTGGCCTATCCTGAGTCCCTTGTATTTACAAATAAATTTTAGAACCAGCTCATCAATTTCTGCAAAAAGGCAGCTGTGAATTTGATAGGAATTGTGTTGAATGTGGATAAATTTGGGGAGTATTGCCACCTAAACAATATTGTCTTCCAATCCATGAACATAGAATGTCTTTCCACTTATTTATATCTTTTAAAATTTCTCTTGACAATGTTTCGTAGTTTCACTGTTATGTGTCTTGCCCATTTTAAAAGCTGACCTATGTTTCTTACTGGGTTTGAGAATTCTTTATACATACACTGGATACAACTCTACCAGACATGTGATTTGCAAATACTTTCTGTCAGTCTGTGGCTTGTCTTTTTATTCTCTTAACAGTGTTATTCAGAGAGCAAATTTCTACTTTTTAAAATTGTGATTAAGTACACATAATGTGATTATCTACCATTTTAACCATTTTTAAGTGTACAATTCAGTGGCATTAAGCACATTCACAGTGTTGTGCAGCCATCACCACCATCCATCTCCAGAACTTTTTCATCTTATAAAACTGAAACTCTGGGGCTGGCCTGTGGCTCACTCAGGAGAGTGCGGTGCTGATAACACCAAGGCCACGGGTTCGAATCCCATATAGGGATGGCCGGTTTGCTCACTGGGTGAGCGTGGTGCTGACAACACCAAGTCAAGGGTTAAGATCCCCTTACCGGTCATCTTTTAAAAAAAATAAAAAATAAAAATAAATAAAACTGAAACTCTGTACCCATTAAACACTAGTTCCCCTCTCCCTGCTTACCCCAGCCCTGGAGACCACTGTTCTACCTTCTGTCCCTGTAAATCTGACAACTCTGGGGAACACATAAGTGGAATCATACAGTATTTGTCCTTTTGTGTCTGGCTTCTTTCACAGTTTTTACTTTTCATGAAGTCCAGTATATCAGTTTTCTTTTATGGTATATGCTTTTGGGGTCCTAATAAGTCTTTGCCTAATCCAAGTTCACAAAGATTTTTTCCTGTGTTCCCTTCTAGAATTTTTATAGGATTTAAATTTGCATCTTTTAAGATTTAAAATTTAAGTAACTTGAGTTTTAGGTTTTAAGTTTAGGAGTATGATCCATTTCAAGTTAATTTTTGCATATGGTGCTGCCATGGATTGAATGGCCCCCCAAAACTCAATGAAGCTTGCCCCCCATTATAACAGTGCTAAGAGAGTGGGAAATCTGATTTGAAAGGTGGGGCCTTTAAGAGGTTATTGGATCACAAGGACTGTGCCCTTGTGGATGGACCGATCCATTCGCAGAGTAATGGGGTAACGATTTAATGAGTGGTCATGGACGTGGCTCTGATGGCTTTATATGACATTGAGTGAGATTAGCTCTATTGCTCGGGTCATTCTCGCCGTGTGACGCCCTGCATTGCTGTAGAGAGACACTACCAAGAAGGCCCTCACCAATGTATTCCCTGAACTAGGGACTTTGCAGCCTCCAAAACAAATGAATAAATTTTGTTTCTTTATAAATTACCAAGTTTCAAGCATTCTATTATAAGCAACAAAAACGGCCAACACAGATGCGTGCTGTGTCAAGGTGCAGTCTTTTGTGGAAAAGATGATCCTTTCTCCAATGTACTTGGTACACGTTTGTGAAAATCCATTCTGAAAGTACAGGTGAGCCACCTATGAAAACACAGGTTGCCACCTATGTTTTCAAAATGAAAAACAGAAAAGGCGGCCTCTCAACTGAAGCTGAGGTCTCCAAGGAACCCACTTTACCCTGAGGTTCACTCCCACAGCAGAGTCCTGGCTAGAGGCTCCGCTCTGCTCACTAGCTGGACAGGACTCCCCGCCGCAGCCCAGGGGCCCTGCTATGCCTCATGTTTGTGTCCCACAAAATCCATATGTTAAAGCCTAACACCCAGGATGATGGTATTAAGAGGTGGGGCCTTTGGGAGGTGATTAGGGTACAAGGGCAGGGCCCTCATCAATGGTCAGAGCCCTCCTAAAAGACGCACAAGGAAGCACGCTGCCCTTCTGCCACCTGATGACACACAGAAGGAACCGTCTATAAGGGCCCTTCCCAGACACCAAATCTGCTGGCATCTTATTGAACTTCCAGCCTCCACAACTATTAGAAATAAATTTCAGTTGTTTATAAATTACTCAGTCTAAGGTATTTTGTTATAGCAGCCCTAACATTCTATGACAGAAATTGGTACTATAACAAATACCTAAAAATGTGCAAGTGGCTTTAGCATTGGGTAACGAGTGGCAGCTGGAAGAGTTCTGAGGGGCACTTCCACGAAAGGAGCCTTAAAAATGATCCTAGGGCTGGCCCGGTGGCGCACTGGATAGTGCGCCGCTTGGGAAGCGCGGCGGCGC